ACTCATAAGTAAAATAGTTTAAGCATATGCTAATTAGAAGACAATTTCATATATTAACTGATCATAAGCCAATGTAAGGAACCTTTAAGAGCCCTTCAGGCAAGTATCCCTCACTCTAATTCCGCTAAATGAACTACATCACACAAGTCACCATCGATATGAGCTATGTAAAAGGAGCAGACTACATCGTTGAGGACACCCTTTACCGTTTTTATATGGTTTCCGCAGTAGATGACGCCAAAATTGATTATCAACACATGGCTGAAGACCAGGAATGTAACATTGCTAAATCGCCACTCAGCAAGGGCCCAAACAGACAATGACGTGAATAGACGTAAATCGTCCTTTCATCCCTTCCATCATACGGAAATTGGCCTTCCAAACCGTTCATGATTTGGCAAATTTAAGCATACATGTGCCCAAGAAACTAATCACAAGCTATTTCGTCTAGCCAGGAATCCGACAGACATATGTAAGTAAACTAAAACCTGCCTAATTTTTAAAAATTACAAGTTACATAAATACGGCAAGACTCTTATTGTCCGATTTAAGCCAAATTTAATCATATTCACATACATTGCGTGTACCCTTACAGCTTCTAAGGAAAAACTCTATCTCATCACCATAATGGACCCCTTCACATGATGGCCAGAAGTCAGTCCAATATCAGATATACGGACAGAGACAGTCGCCAAAACCTTTGCCATTTACTGGGTTTCCAGCTTTTGCATATCAGCAATCATCCCAACCGGCAGAGGAAAGTAGTTCGAATCCAATATTTTCGACTAGCAATCTTAATTATTAGGAACATGCGACTATCACCCACAAGCTAAGGCTTTTTCGAACGTTACCACCATCAGCTAAAGGCTTGTCTGAGATGCCATACTAACTAAAAAAAGTGAACAGATTATTTGCTTTTAGTCCTCCCGAGCTTACATACCACGATCAAAGTGGAAGACAACTGCAGTCCAACAGAAATGGTTTACGGATTCCAATTATGAATAGCCAATTATTTATTTGCCCTAATAAACATTAGAGTAACATCTGCAGATTACGCTATGAATCTGACCGATCAGATTAAAAGACTATGCAGCATACCCTTCAAGCCAACTCTCTGCAGGTTGGAAGTGCCCAAAGACCTTTTGAATTGAAAATACGTCTATGTCAAAGACGAACGATTATTGCTACCACTACCAAAACCACACAGCTCCCATTTTTCAGTTATCTTCATAGACAACAAACATTTTACTCTGCTAATTAAAAAACATCATGAAATGGTAGGCACATGCAGACTCAAGGCTGCAAGAATTGAGTAGTAGAAATAAATCCCAAATACTAAGAGCAAGCTGACCAACCCATATTGAGGAGAAAAAGAACACAGTCCAGACATCCTATGCTGCTGAGAAAAAGAGTCTATTTCATGTGGAAACATAATACAATTCTCATTAACTCACTTTGTTTCTTTCAAGTCTATCCCTTTCGTGTTAGCCTCTAGGAGAGAGTGTTGTAGCGGCTTTTATTCTAGAGTCAATTTAGTTACACTTTTTGGTGGAAACAACAAGCAAGCAGTTATCATTCAACTCATGCAACATCGGTCGGAGCATGACTCCGTGGTATTATGCCCCACTAGGAGAAGAACCTATTCACCGCATCAAGCCTCCATTTTGAAACGATCAGAACGTGACATTAAAACTACACTATAATATTTTAATTCTGAAATTATTTGGACTAGTAACTGTTCTTCACCGCTCCCCTTTAACCTTTGTAACACTATATGACCAAACACTGCTATCTTAAACCGACACCATACTCCGCCATTGTCTTTGCTTTCTAACTTTGTCTTCTAGACTTTAACTTGCATTCATCTATACTAGATGCTTTGTTACTAAGGTATTCTATACAGTAAAGCGAAACCAAGTGCATATTTATAGAAAAAAATTTAGATAGTTAAAGTACAATTGCAAATATAAAGGCAAATTCATTACAAATTGAAGCTTGAGCCATATACAATACAAATTAAAATCCCACCATTCTAAATAGAAAATAATCCCACTGATCTCCAGAAAATACACTATTTAATGAAAAATTATTAAGATGCGAACGTTCTTATTGCAAGCCAGCTACATCAATCATTTTACATAGTTAACGGATCAGAGAATTCCATTATGTTAATTTTGTTATTAATGCTTTTGCATATTAAAAAAAGTGTTAACTACTAAAGTATATGCATTATTGTAAGTATGAAAAGGCTATCGATAGAATGGCAACTTATTCACAATAACTTGCAAAGATTGAGAAATCTCGAATAATGGGACGAGGGACAACTTAAAATTTCCAGTGTCCAAACGTATATTTGGTTGATAAATTTTATTAATTATTTATTGGTCAATTTTTATTTTATTTAGTTTGGAATAGGATTATTTATAGACTTATCTGATGTTATTTTGTTATTTCCAAATCAAAACTTCCGTACTAATTTTGGCGCCCTAACTCCCCTCCAGCCCCTCACCCTTAATGAAGGTTAATTGAGCTATGACTATCACGCTTAGGAACTGGAACCGATCAGATGACATGTTTGATTTTATCGAGAGGGGTCTAGAAAGTGTAGGAAGGCGTCCACACTCCCAACAAGTTGCTATAGGAGCATGCGCTGGAGCGTAAGGCTGCGTTGTTATACATTTTTCAGAGTCACCGGTTATTTCGCCGGCAAGGTTGGCAAAGGTGCAGCTTTCCTCATAGGAGCCTCACTTATCGGTATAAAGGTTAGTGCTTTTTGTTTCGTTTTAGATGTTAACGTATTATTTTGTGACTAAATACAATACTTATGTCAAATTTTTTGGGTATTTCTATACCTACTGGGTATTGACCTCATATCAATTCAACCGTTATAGTATATTTATTCGAGCGCTTCTCACGAATTTTATTTATTATTATATTTACAAGATGCCTGCTTTTTGAGCATCATAGTAGTTCCGATTTTTAGCCAATCAGTGGTACCCTCGTTAAAATCCTCACGAATTTCCTGTTTACTTGGCATGCTTGTAATCACATCAGTGTTG